GTTGAAAATGACAATAATAAGGATTAGCCAAGAACAGAGGTTTCCGACCAGAACCTAAGTTTTAAGATTATTTCATCTCTGGCATGTGGCAATAAATAAGTTAATGCAAAAGAAAGTTTACCATGTCAAACCACTGATAGTGCTGTCGACAATGTTGAAAGCAAATGTGAGCTAATAATAGAGGAATCTGATTTGAACCCAAATGTTAAAATTATATTTGTTCATAGTACCTTTAGTAAAAGCGATGTGACAGGATTAGAGAGGCATTGAAGAAGAGTAGATGTGATAGAGATGCAAATTTGAATTATGTGAAAGGTAGAGAAAATGAGATAAACAGTGAGTAAAGCTTAGATAGAAAGAGCTAGTTATCGGAATAGAGCTGGAATATGCTTTTCCCTATAAGCAAAGGGGACTGTTTTGAGGTTTTGAACTCGGGAGAAGTAGTGCCTCGATACTCACTAACCAAGCATTTTCTTTTTACTTAGTGCATCAAAGTGACCTTCCGATATTGGCACATTTATGGTGTTACGAGAAAGACTATATGAATTTTGTTTCACACCTAAAATAACTAATTAATTCCACTTTGTGATTTCTAAGAATTATTCTGATATTTTTATGGTATGGTTTATTTATATTTTAGATCATTGATGCAAGAATCATAATCATTCTTTTGCGTTGAATTGTAAATGTATAGTTGTTATGCAATTTATTAGAAAAAAAAAGCAAATATTCATTGTTGCTCACTCTTTGTGACTCCATTCCTTGAAAATCCAGCATAAGTATCTTCTCCTATTGATTCATTTTAGTATAAAACGGTTAACTGCTTGATGGGTTGGTGAATTTACTTTTGGAATCAGGTAGCTGAAGATTTGTTTATGGTTAACTTCTTGATGGTTTGTGTTATGAGCCAAAATAAAATGGGTCATGAGTGCTGGAATATAGTCCATTAATTTTAGCTATGAACCATTTCTGTTGGGAGTGAGCAAGGTAGTTATTGTATGGGAATTGACAATTGGGTGAATATGGTTGTCATATAGATTACAAGGACAATCTGTACCGATCAGTGAAGGAATTACAACATTTTCCTCAATTTAAAAAAAGTTCTCTTCTTTATTCTTTTCTCTCTCTTTCTTTTTTTTTTGTCTTTTATTCTTCATTCATCAGACCACATCATTGTGGTACCAGAGCTAGCAAGTCTAGACCATGGTAGACGGCACCACCACATGATTGCAGAAAGAGATGGGACAAATTCAAAAAGAGATGGAAAAGATGAAAACCAGATTGAATGCTGTTAATGAAAAGCTCAGATCTGATTTCGAGGCTAAATTTGAGGCTATGCAAAGTGATGTGCACTCAATGTTTGAGAAGATAATGAAGTAAATGGGAGGTTCATCTAAGGTTGTGAAAGTTGGTGAATCAGTGGCTAATGCATATTCTAATAGCAAACAGAAGGCTGTGTTTGAAGGGTCGGAGGCAAACAGAGTGGACATATAGAGGCCCTTTCCACTATCAGAGCCCATAACGGTTCCTCAAATTCAGACTAAGTATTCAAAGTTGGAATGTCCTCAATTTGATGGTGATGACTTCAGAGGATGAATAGTTTTTTGAAGCAGATCAGTCCACGGAATATAAGAAAGTAAAGACAGTGATGAAGTATTTAGAAGGCCAAGCTTTACAGTGGCATCAATGGTTCATGAAGAATCAAGGAAGACTCCAAAAGCTAAATTGGACTGTTTACATAGCTGAGATAAAAACTAGATTTACTGAAACTGAATTTTTTGACCCAATGCTTGAAATAGTGGTTTTGAAACAACAAAACACTGTAGATGAATACTATGAAGAATTTGAGGGCTTGTTAAATCTACTATCCATTTCAGATGATAATGCCCTTATTTTATTTTTGAAAATTTTGGAAACCTGAACTATCTAAACCTATGAGAATGTCTTATTCTAAGTCCTTGAACCAAGCCTACAGCTTAGCCAAACAAATGGAGTCTCTTATATTTAGTTTACCTAGAAAGCCTTATATACCTTATAAAAATCCTTTGACAGCTCCTCCTTTATCAACCACCAACTCTTTCCCTTCAATGTCCATTTTACCACCCCTACTGCCAACCCCTAAAACTTCATTCCTAACTTATAACCAGCAACCTAAGCCATTACCATCCTTTAGCTTTTCTAAAAAATCAAACACTAAGCCTGAGCCTATTTTAGCTAAGATCAATAGCTCGAAATTTCCTACTAGGGAGGAATGAGATGATAGGAAGAAGAGGGGCCTTTGTATGTGGTATGGGGTCAAATATACAGTTGGACATAAGTGTGTGAAATCACAGCTATTTCAAATGCTAGTGGATGAAGGTGAGGAAAACTCTAATGAAACACCCTTGAAGACTTTGGTATAGAGGAAACTAATGCTCAAAATAGGCATGTTTTATCCTTACATGCCTTGGTGGGAGCTGAAGGGCATCGAACTGTGAGGCTATTAGACAAGGTTAAGAACCAGAGGGTGATTTTCTTGGTAGATTTTGGGAGTACCAACAATTTTATGGATCAGTCATTGATTAAAAAATTGGGATACTATACTTATCTCTTTGGTGGAACCACTGTTACTATAACCAATGGTACTGAACTGGTAGTCAAAGATATATACAAAGGATTGGTTTTGGAAGCTCAAGGATTATTGTAGTAAATTGACTTCTTAGTTCTTTTTCTAAAAAGTTGTGATGCAATACTTGGAATACAGTGGCCATAGACTTTAGGTCCTATCTTATGGAATATCTCCCTACTCATTATGCAATTTGTAGTAAACAACACTTGGTATACGCTACAGGGGCTAAAAACTAACCAAGTGAAATTGGCTTCTAAGAAACAGTCTACTAACTTGAATATGCTCAGTAGATCAGGTGGCCTTATGTTGATCACTAGTATTGGTCCATCTAGTAGTCAGACTCAGTCCAACAACGGCAACATGAAGTCTAGCATGCCACAGGACTTACAAACATTATTGGGAAGATATTCAGTGATTTTTGAATCACTTATTGGTTTACCTACCTCCAAACTTCAAGATCACAAAATTCCTCTGTTGGATGAGTCTCAATCTATGAAAGTCAAACCTTACAGGTATTCAATTTTACAAAAAAAAAAAATGATATTGACAAGATTGTGGTGGAAATGAAGGAGGCAGGAATAGTAAGGGATAGCAATAGCCCTTTTGCATCACTAGTAGTGTTGGTAAAGAAGAAGGACGGGTCTTAGAGACATTGTGTCGATTACAGACAGTTAAACAAGATGACACTCAAAGACAAGTTTCCCATTCCTTTAGTAAAGGAGTTACTAGATGAATTATCCAATGCCAACTAGTTTTCTAAGCTCGATCTTAGGTCTGGATATCACCAAATTAGAATGGATTCTGCAGATATCCATAAGACATCTTTCAGACTCACAAAGGACATTACGAGTTCCTTATCATGCCCTTTAGGTTAACCAATGCTCCTTCCATTTTCTAGAATCTGATGAACGATGTTTTTTAGCCCTTCTTGTGGAAATTTGTACTGGTGTTTGTCGTTGATATTATGGTGTATTTTACCAGCTGGAGTGATCATCTAACACATTTGTAGCAGGTATTTGAGGTCCTACTCCAAAATCAGCTATATGTTAAGCCCTCAAAGTGTGATTTTGATGCTAGAAAGATCGAATATCTAGGACATGTCATTAGCAAGGGAGAAGTTGCTATGGATGGTAAAAAAATTGAGTGTTAAAAAATGGCCAATGCCAAAGACTATTAAGGTTTTTTGGATTGGCTGGTTATTACTGAAGATTCATTAAAGCTTATGGTACTATTGCCGAACCACTGACTGACTTATTGAACAAGATTGCCTTTAAATGGCGGGAGATAGCTATTACAACTTTCGAAAAACTCAAGCAAGCTATGATATTAGCACCGGTGTTAGCCTTACCAGATTTCAGCTCTACTTTTGTAGTTGAATCTGATGCGTTGAGTTGTAGTATAGGGGTTGTTTTAAGCCAAAAGGGTAGGCCTATTGCTTATTTTAGCAAGGCTTTATCCACTAAACATCAGGCATTACCTGTATATGAAAAGGAGATGTTGGCAATATTGGCTGCTATTAAGAATGGGTTGCCTATCTGATTGGGAAGCACTTTCATATTAAAACAAACCACCAAAGTCTTAGGTTTCTACTTGATCAGAAAACAAACACTTACGCTCAACAACTATAGGTGGTTAAGATGATGAGTTTTGATTATGAATTGGTTTATAGGAAAGGGCCTGTAAATGGGGTAGCCGATGCTTTTCAAGGAGACCATCTGCATCATTGATTGCTATTTTTTCTGTAAACACTGAGATCATGGACGGGATCAAACAATCTTGGTTGAAGGACCCAAGTTCATCTACTTCACAAGATTAGCAAAAATCCAGGACAGTTTGCAAAGAATACTTAGCAACCGAATCAATTAAGAAGAAAGGGAAAACTTATGGTATGGGCCGATTCTAGCTTGAGAAATGATTTGCTATATATATTTTTTTTCACAATTCTGTGGACGGTGGTCATTCTAGTATAGAAGCTACTTGAGGAGATTAACTACTGTGGTTTATTGGAAATGCTTGAAGAAGGCAGTCAGACAATTCATCCGAGAATGCTCTATTTGTCAAGAGAATAAATATGAAACGAATGCATATCCTGGTTTATTACAGTCTCTACCAGTTTCTGATAAGGTATGGTCTGATATTTTAATGGACTTCATAGAAGGCCTGCCTCGATCTTTTGGAAAAGATATGATCATGTTATTATCGACAGGTTAAGTAAGTACGCTCACTTTATCACCCAGGCCCACCCATTTACTGTTGTACTGTAGCATAGGCGTACTTAGACAATGTCTATAAGTTGCATAGGGTACCCAATACTATTGTTTTTTACAGAGATCGAGTTTTTACTAGTTCCTCTTGGAAGGAGTTGTTTAAGCTACTTGGAACTAAATTGAAAATGTCTGCTGCATATCATCAACAAATAGATGGACAATTTGAAGTGGTTAATAGATGCTTGGAAACATATTTACAATGCATGACGGTAAACAACTGAAACAGTTGTCTACGTGGTTTTCCCTAACTAAATGGTGGTACAACACCACTTTTTCACACTTCAATTCAGACTACTCCTTATGAGGTTGTTTATGGACAACATGCCCCAATTCACAGACCATATCTTACTGGGGACTCTAAAGTCGATGAAGTTGATAGAAGTCTTCAGGTGAGATCAGACAGCTGAAGTTTCATTTAGACAGGGCTCGTAACAGGATGAAGCAACAATTTGATAAGTATAAAAGTGACATAGTATTGGAGACTGGTGATTTTGTTGATTGGAGAATAGTGATTTTGTTTATGTTAAGTTGCAACCATACAGCAACAATTTGTCCTTCATAAACATTCTTTCAAGCTGTATGTTCGTTATTATGGTCCTTACAAGGTGCTCAAAAAGATTGGCCCTATCGTTTATAAATTGGACTTGCCCACTGGTGCAAAAGCTCATCCTATTTTCTCTGTGTTTAAGTTAAAGAAATACAATGGAAGGGTACCAACTCAAACTAATCTTTCTTTGATGGATGCAGATGGTATTTTAGCAAAGGAGCCAATAGCTATATTGGATAAGAGGTTGAACAAGAAAAAGGGTTGAGCTGTCACAAAAATGCTAATCCAATAGAGCAACAGCTTTCCAGAAGATGCAACTTGGGAAGGCTTATATGACTTGTAGCAAAAATTTCTTGCTTTCAATCCTTGAGGGCAAGGATTTTTTCGAGGGGAGGGTAGTTGTTATGAGCCAAAATAAGATGAGTCATATGGGTTGGAATATAGTCCATTTATTTTAGCTATTAACCATTTATTTTGAGAGTGAGTAAGGTAGTTATTATATGGGAATTGGCAGTTGAGTCAATATGATTGTTATATAGATTATAAGGACAGTCTGTACCAATCAGTGAAGGAAATACAATAATTTCCTCAATTTTTTGAAAGATTTCTTTTCTATTCCTTTGCTCTCTCTTTCTCTTCCTTATCTTTTATTCTTAATTCATCAAATTGCACCAGTCTGTTGCATTTATTTTTGAAATCAAGTAGCTGAAGAGACTTGTTTACTCGGTGGTTTGCATTATAAATTGAGGTATGAAGGTGATTTAGTGACAATGTGTGGTATTCAAGCACTAAAATTATTTCAATTGAGCTTACACAAATCCATAGGATAGTTATTTTGGTTTATACCAAGTTTGCCATGACCCATCAATTAAGCATATATGTTTTCATTGCAGGTTGTTGCTGATTTTGGAGAAAGTTTGCCAATTTTCTTAAAGAAGGAACTTGAGGTAATGAATGAATCACATCTTTCTACAACTTAGTATATCAATAAATTTTTTTTATAAAATTTTATTGTTTTTTATCCAATTATTAAGAGATCGAATCTTTATAGTTTTTTAGATATGCTATTCAATGTATTTTTTAAATTTAATCATTTTAATTTCTTATGATCATACAATAGGTCTTATTATCATATTTACCTTCGAATTTTATTGAAGATCAGGATCTCATATATACAAATTTTACTTTGTAAATTGGACTTGCATTAAAAAAAAGTAAAAAAATTAGAGAAAGATAAACAAATCCTGAAGCGTGGACAAGATATTGCTTTCATAGAACTAATAAGATACACAAGTCACTTTTTTTTTTTTTATGTTTTCTTTTAACTTTTAAAATAACTAAAAGAATTAAAGAAAGATATACATAACGATACTTGTGAATGAAAATTTTGCGATATATGAGAAGGGAGTCGAAATGTCAAGTATGGAACGAAGCCCTATTATCAATTCATCCAAACATAACGCAAACCCGGTAACCTTAACTCTCGGTCCGTCCACAAACAGTAAAAACCAGCATCCTCCCCTCATTTGATTTTTAACAAAAATCCCAACGAAAACGCTGCCGTTGGCCGCCTTCTTACACAGCGCAGGTGAATTGCTGTTCTCCTCCATCCCAGCCAGGAGAACATAAACCAAACAAAGAAAAAAAAAATGTATGGAACCACGGGAGGATACAGTAATGGCTATCAACAGAGCTCGGGAGAGAAGCGAGGGGGAAGTCGAGGGAGTAGGGGAGCTCGTGGGTTACGCGGCCAGAATGGCTTCAGGGTACCATCACCGCCGAAACAAAAACAGCGACCAGCAAGAACAGAAATCACCACCCCCTTGTACGGATTTCGACATGGCATACTTTCACTCTTATGCCCACGTTGGCATCCACGAAGAAACGATCAAGGTCTTTCCTTCTTCTTTTTTGTTATTTTGCTTGCTACTCATTTGTTCTTAACTGGGTTTATTTTGCTTCGTTAGTACTTCTTCTGGGACTTTGTGAATTTCTTTTACTTTTAGCTTCATGTTTTTGCTTTTTGGGATGTTTTTAAGTGTTTGAATTTACTAAAAAAATTGAAGAAGAAGAGGAAGATTCCATGGGTTATAGCAATGCGAGTGCCAGGTAAGGGTCGCCAAAGTCGTGACTCAGAGTGAGTGCTTTAAGGTGGGAGTTGGAATTTGAGTTATTCTCATGCATTCACTTTCTATCCTTTAATGTATGTTTCTTAATATTTATTAATTAGTTACGTTTCTGCGCTGTCTTCGTTTAAGCACTTGTGCCCACAAGTTTTAATCCTGGCAATTCTGTTAAATTAAGCTTTGTGTTCTTCATTTGGTGACTGAAGATTTCTTGAATTGAGCTCTTTCCAATGGTGGCTTGTTTAAATTATACTTTGTTGTTTAATGAAAAATTTTTGATTATATTTTTTCTGAACACTTTATCCAGCTTATTATGAATTGTATAGTTTTGACAAAGTTGTGAGCTTGTATCAGTTGCAAATTTGGATCTCCGTTTGCCTTTTAAATAATAATAATAATAATAATAGAAATTCATGACAATTTGCTGATCATACTTTTTCCCTTAAGCATAAAAAATCGAGTTCGAACTGAAACCTACAGGGCTGCAATCATGCAACACCAGAGTTTTATTGAAGGCAAAGTAATGCCGTTGTTGTAGTCTCAGTTATAAAATTATATATGATCTCTTTTCTTACTCAGAATCTAATAATATCAGGATTGTTCTTTATTTATGCAAGCATTATCATACTTGGTTGCATTTTTTGTAAGATTCTCATTTCATCCAGTCACAGCATTGTACTGCACCTACTATAATCTAATACATGGGTGAAATGCATTTGTCTCTTATAGAAAGAGATATGAAGCATATAGCTCTCAAATGATCTAGTAGGTTTAAGAACTGTTTTCTAAATAATATTTAGTTGGTTCATTCCTCTTCCTCATTATTGGTTGTGACCATGCTTACAGGTTGTGATGGATGTTGGATGTGGTACAGGCATTCTTTCAATATTTTGTACTCAAGCTGGTGCGAAATGGGTAATATGTCTTGAAGTGCATATTAAATGACATATTTTTATTGGCAGTATCACTGGACATTTATTTGACAATTGATTCAATCTCAATTTTCTGCATATCATGTGGCACTGTTTTCAACTAATTTCTGAAGATTACTTTATTTAATGAGTGCAGGGGGATTGTTAGAAGTTGAATTGTGTTCAACTTTTTCTTCTTTTTTTTTTTTATTTCATTTAGTTTTCTCTAATTAGTATTCTATGTGAATTTTATAATTTTATCATTAGAAAAGACAATATACTTCTATTGATCTATTGACCAAGAGAAATGTAGATAGAACTTTAATTTTGTTCTTTATTATATTTTTTAGAATTTCAAAATCTCTGGTTACCACAAAGCTATATTATTATTGTTAATGTTGATGGATTCATTTAAAATAAAATTGTCTAATATCTGAAGTGATTATGTGTTCTCAGGTGTAGGCATTTGATGCGAGTGATATTGCAGTGCAGGTACTTTGTTGCATTAGCGCTTAACTGCTTATTGCTTGGGCATTCTTAGCATTTGTTTTGAGAGTGCAGATTTAGCACTTTTTCCATCTCTCATCACCGTTATTGTTTTCTCAATGTGTTAATCACAAAAATGAGATTATGAGATCTGGTTAACACTAGCAATTAGAGTATGAAAGCTCATTATCTATCAACATTATGGAAATGGGATAATGTTATGAAGACCCCCGGGAACTATAGTGAAATGTTCAATGTGGTATCTAAACTATCAATATGTTAACTAATGTGGTACTTGGAGGGTTATTTGTCTGGCGCATGCCATCATCTAAAGTCAGCCACATTAGGGGTGAGTATTATATTAGTCATAGATTCATAGTTTAGGTACCACATTAGAAACTTTTGAAGTTCAAGTACCACATTGAAATTTTCACTATGGTTTAAGGGTCATTCATGACATTAACCCGTAAGGAAATATATATGTTCTTTACTTCTCTAGAACTTTCGCTGAGTGGCTTCTTGTTTTGGAAATGAAACTGGCTATTGGGTTTGTATTAATCTTTGCTCTTTGCAAGCAGGCAAATGAAGTTGTGAAAGCAAATAACTTAGCTGAAAAGGTCATTGTATTGCATGGACGAGTTGAGGTAGGGTTTTCCTGTCAGGCTTAAATGGTTGCAAGAATATCCATTTTTATAGTTTAATGGGCTTAATCTGTTTGCATATTTGAGAAAAGAACAAGCACATATATATTTATATATTAACATTTGGGCAAGGTTGGAGGCAGGGGAGTTGAATCCTGGACATTGAGCCTTCATTGGAGAGGTAACAAACTAACAACCAGTAGGCCAACTTGGGGTTAGGTTTATTTCTTTCTAACTTTTTAAAGTTAGTGAGAATCATTTCTTTATTTATGAAACTACAAAGATTGATTTTCAACATCATGGAATTAGAGATGATGCTTCTGCATTTACTCTCAAGGTCAAGGGAACACTAGCTGCAGTGAAAAATCAAGGTGGAATTTGATGTGTCGCTGTACGCTATAAGGATGGGGACCTTTATATATGGTGCTTTGCTTTTGCAGACCATTTTAAGACTTTGCATTGCTGTTGGTGTTTAAATTTCATTATAAATGAGGGAAATTTTCTATTCTGTCCAGTTGCGGCATCTTGGATGAAGTGATTGCGATAGCACCTTCTTGATGCTTTCATTGGTAGATGACTGTGCAATTATGGTAGCAATTGCTAATTGTAGATATATTTGGTTAGTTTTCACATCTTTTACATACATAATGTGAGCACCATTCATAGTTATGGTGATCATGGGATAATAATTGCTAAAGCTTGCACATATAGGACATTGGTCCACATACAGTTTGCTGGTATTGCCAGCTTTCATATTGGCTTGGATTCAGCACACGGATGTATCATTTCATGGATTAATTGTTGAACAATGATGAAATATTTCTGCTATTTGTCTCTTTCTTTGGATGAGACAAGAAAGCAATGCCTATTGCAGACTTCATTATTGTAGAAGTACGAGGTAGGTCATTTAAGATAATGAAGAGCCAAAGGTCATTTGTGCATTTATGTTTGGAACCTGCCAATAAACCTATACTTGGTGGTGTTTTCTTTTTTTTTTTTTTTTTTGGGGGGGGGGGGGGAGGAGGGGACAGCTACATGCTTCCTACTGTTCTGAGAAAAATTTTCTTCCGTTGAACTGACTTATTTCCTTCTGAATGTCAG